AAAATCCGTAGGAGAAGCTATTGCATTTTACACTTCTGAAATGCACTTTGCTAAGCCTTCTCCTGCAACTTGAGTTGAAAATCTGACTAACTTAAGAGATAGAAAATCAAGCCCAATTAAGTACAAATATAGGGGTTTAATGAGTATATGTACAACAAAATCCATTTCAACATAATAATTATTCGGTATGGTACATTGTCTAGTCTGGTCAAAGTCTGGATTCTGAAGAAGAAAAACTTCTGAAGAAAAAAACTTTTGAAGAAAAAAAATATTATTCAGCATAAAATTTTGATTGGTTTCCATCTCATTGTTTTTTTAAAAATCGATAATGTGATTGTATCAATTTTAAACGCCCTAAAATTAGCTAAATCGGCGCTTTTACGGTGATTGCGAAATATGGGTGCCCTATGACCTTTGACTTTTTACGGGTCATGCTGCTCAGGCGCTAGGCGCCCTCCCCACGTCGGCCGTCCGTCTTGTGGGCAAAATTTCTACTTTTTTAGGGGTTTCGGGACCTAAAAACTAACACCAGAGGGAAAATAAACCACATAGGTTTTTTTCATGGTAAATATCGCTAAAATGGACCAGGCATTTTTCAGCCGCGTTGCCGATTTTGACAAGGACTTGCGGCCGCCATGTGCTAAATACGTCGATTAGCTACTCGCCTTCCCCTTCGGTTTTGTGGGCAAATTTTTGCTTTTTCAGACGTTTTGGGACTTAAAAATGGACAGCAGGCGAAAAAAGATAAATAATATACATTATTTTCATGGGAAATGCCGCTATCATGGACCAAATATTTATCTGTGACGTGTTGCCGAATTTTGCGGCCGCCGGCCACTTGCTGATGGTGCGGTACGTATGGACAATTTTTCCCCAAAAATTAATAAACGTACCGTCCCTAATAAGAGTGTACCGGGTGGACGTTCGGGCCGAAAAAAATAAACGTACCGGTACGTTTAATCGGGACATCAGAGTATCAACTTGATACAAATTATCCTATAAGGGACTGTACGATATTTACCGGGGGGGAGGGCCGGTCGTCTGATGGGGGAGGGTCTAGGAAAAAAATTTTGAGCCGGGGGGAGGGCCTAGGAAAAAATATTTAAATTTGGGGGAGGGCCTAGGTAAATTTTTTTCCAAGATCCCTTTAACTCTACAACGTTTTTATACACGTTCAAAACATGATTAAACGTCTGTCCATACATATCGTAGCGATTTGAAGGTCATTGGAATCGGCAGAATTTTACCTTCCAATATATCCATCCCTATTATTATAATGTATTCGCCCAAATCTCCCACATTCCCCTTCAAAATCTTGCATTTTCGCCAGAATCGGCGAAACTGGACTACACAGCCAAATTACATGGATTAAAATCGCGTCAATCGCGGCAATCGAAACGATACCGATCAAAAATGTAGGGAAGGCTTGTCTGAAGATTTTGAAAAATAATTTTCGCCGTTCAACGCACCCTTCCCAGTGGTGTGCGTGCGTCGGCAAAGGCCCCGCTGGTCCCGCAGCTCGCTCGAACTTCTCGGCGTGGATGTCGGATGTCGACGGATTAATTTTGGTACTTTTATTAAACCAAGGACTATTTTAACATTTATATCTATGCCCCTCCAAAGTTAATTGAAAACAACACGTAACTTGGCAACATTGTTTCCCTGTTTGTAATAAAATTGACGCGGAAGACGTGGACGAAAGGTAGGCTAGATAGAGGATTATTTCGATTACACTGACTGACCTTAACGTTACTGACTTTAAATTTATAGTTCGACGTACCAGCGAAATTTGTGCTGCCAAATTTGCCCCTCAACATGCAAAACATGGGTTGAAATTCAAAATTTTTCCGGGGGGAAATCCCCCGCCCCC